CTATGTTTCTAGTATTATGCAAAGAAACAGAGATAAGACAAAGAGAATCTTGTTCTTGCCAACAAGACAAATGTAATAATAGCTCTCGCCTGGAGGCCTAGTGGTAAGGAGCTATGCTGCCAACCCAAAGGCACACAGTTCGAATTCACTAGTGCCTCCATGTGAGAAAGATATGGCACTCTCCTCCTGTGTGATTTACTGCTTCTGCAAACCCGCTGGCATCTCAGCCATGAGTCATTTCTGACTCGATGGTACCTAACAACAACTCTTACAAAGTTTACAGTCTCTCTGTATTGGGCCCCCTCGAAGGCTATACTCAGTTCATCATCCTTCCCTGTCTTTGTTCCACCTCCTACTCAACGACACTAATCAAAACAGCATGGTATTGGTACAACACAGACACATAGACAATGAAATTGACTTGAAAATCAGAAATCATCAACCCACGGTCAACTGATATTTGAGAAGGTAAGAGTTAGCGACCAGGCTTGCCTCAACATTGCCAGACTCCCAGGCAGAGTCCACTTTTTTTTATTCATCTGCCCCTAGTTGCTGCACATCTCTGACCCTCTGTGTTTACTGTTTATGTTTGTGTGGGATTCCCCCCTTTACTATCCTGTGCCAATTTCATATTTATGGAGCATCAACACAGTGTAAAGCTCTGTGCTGACTTGAGAGAGGAAGATCACTAGAGAGCAAAACTCACCTCCTTCCTTCAAGACGGTTATGGTCCAGCTAGTCAGTCATGAGACAGGATGAAAATGTCAGAGACGGGAGTGGCCTCCTGTTTTGAGCATAGAAGAAAGAGATTTCCTTTTCAATTGTATCAGCATCAAGGAGACTTGGGAAGATTCACAGCCTCCTGGCCATTGCAGAGTCAGTTCCTCAATTACTGAGCCCATTGCCCAAACAGAATTGCCTTAGCCAATATAGGAGCCTGCCTTCCATTCTACCAGAGTATTAGAGGGCTGGTACCCAACTAACTGATTCTCTTAGCCTATTTTTCCATCTTTTTTGTTATTGTTTAATTAAAAATTTAAAAAGTGGCATATTGAGATGACAAAAAAAAGGAAAGTTTCATGGTAAAATAAAAACAAATAGTGATCCTTATTGGTTTGGGGTTTCTTTTTATTTTGTTTGCATCCATCACATAATGTCAGTATCATGATGACTTTGCCATAGCTTAAAGGTTAGCATTGTTCTGTGACTGAGAACTGGTGAATATTGGAGCCAGTCATGGAGACTTTTCCAAGTAAAATAAAAATCCTGTAGCTTCCAGCTATGTTTCTAAAATGAAAGAAAAGAGGAGTTGAAATTATAAAAATTGTCATGAGTTTCTAAAAGTTATTTTTATTTTAAAAAATATCCAAATATAGGCTGTTCCCCTTATTTGTGTAAATATCATTTCTGATTTAAATTTTAAATTGTGATGTCTTTAACAAGTGGCCTAGTGGCAAGAAGCTGTGCTGCAATCCTGTAGGCATGGGGTTCGAGGCCACCAGCCGCTCCACGGAAGAAGGATGAGCAGTCACCTCCTGCACAATTAACTACTTCTGAAAACCCACCAGAGGGTCAGCTAGGAGTTCCGACTAGATGGTACACAACAACAGTAACACACACCAACAGAACTCTAGAGACCACATGAAAAATGAGAGGTCTTGAAGGCCTGATAGAATTGTGAGGCGGAGCCTTGTTTAAATCAGAATCTCCAGAGAAGGCTGTCTGTCCCTGCTTTCTCAGGATTGCCACAAAACATGCAGGCTCACCCACCAGGATAAGCATTTCCTGCGACCCACTGTAAGCGGGGTTCTGTGTGCCCATATATGCTGAGTTTCACACAAAGAACCAGCCCATGGCTACCACATTGACTCCAGTTTGTGTGCAGGTAGAATTCTGGGATTTCCACAGCTGATTGTTCAGGCCATTCTCTTCCTCATCACCTCTGAGAGAATTCCAGCTTCCCACCCTTCAGTTCGCAACCAAGTGCATTAACCATTTGTAACCACCTGCACATGAACTCACAAAAAAGAAAATTCAGGGTTGACTGAGAGAAAATTTTAATTCCCTCAAGGATTCTGATGGGGGTTTGATTTGTTTGTTTTCCTGGTTTTCCAATGTTTTTGTAAATACATATATATATAAGTATAAGCACACACCCACAAATGCATACACAGTAAATGCTGGCCCATGCTCAGAAATTGTTTGAGAAAATCCTGTAGGAATGTTTGTTTTATAGTCAACATTTATTATAAACACTAGCAAAACCTCCTCTAAAAGGGAGGAGGAGAACAGAAAATGTCTCCCTTCGAGCACTCTTTGAACCTTGAACATTGTTTTGATAGGCCAACTCATTGTTTGTCTACTCTCTGAAAAATTAAAAACGGTAACTGTTAGGATGAGTTCTGCAGAATGAGAAGATTTCCATGATTTCATTCTTTGACAAAGAACAGCTACCTCGCTGGGCTTCTGCCACATGTAAGCAAACCGTCTTGAGCCTTGCTGGTCTGGCCCTGGGAAACTTCCCTTCTGGCAGGGAGAGTTGAACTTGGGAGAGTTGAACTTGGGGAAGAGGAGGAGGTGGTGCTGGAGGAGAGAGTCACTGTCCCCCCACGTGCGTTCTGGCGGCATCTACAGAGTGGCTTCTGCCCATCACCACTTGATCTGGATAATCTCTACAGAAATGAAAAAAAGGAGAAAAAAAAGTCCAGGCGTGCCTGTCTTTTGTAATGTTCTCTTTTAAAGGGGAGAGGGCTCCAGGGAGAGAACAGGACCCTAAAAGTCCAAGGCCTGGAATTCCTCCTTGCTCTTTCCATTTTAAACAGGAAACATTCATGCTAAGAGAGTCCAGAGGGAATGTTGGTTGTATGTTCATTTTAAGGCAGATAATGTTTGCGTGTTGCAAATGGCAGTGATTTATCCCGAGGGCTTAAAATGAGTGTAGAAAACCCACATGTTTTACTTCATGTAGAGAAATATCTTCAGTAGGTTTGGAGAGAAAGCACAGATTTGGGATTTTTTTTAAAAGTGTTTCAGAAATCTCTTAACATGAGCAGAAAGGAAGTAGAAATGAGTACGCAGGGTGGGCGGGGGTGTAAACATTTTATGATAAAAGATAGAAGGAATGCTGCAAGATCTCAGAATAATAAAATGGAATTCAAAAGGAAAGGAGAGGTAAAACCCTGGTCCTCTGTGTCCCAGGGCTACATGACAGATTATGTATTTGCGTCCTATTTGTCACGGGCAATTTAAAATAGAGCAAAGCAAACTACACTGAATGATAGTGTTTGACGCTGTAATAACTTGTACGCAAACAATTTAATTTTTTTTCCCATCTGAAAACTCTAACTAAATTACCCAAAGCCCAAAGATCTATCTTTCATGATTACAGATAGGCAAATTAAGACACAAGAAAGGAGAGAGAGAAATTCTATGGTTCATCATTATGGACGTGTCCACGCCACCCAACTTGTCAAACCTTTGATTCGAGGAATTTGCAAAGCTGTTTTAACATCAAACTCTGCAGATTACAGGGTGATTTTGACCCCCATTGACAGTGCTTGATTAACCACAGATACTGTATTCTTCCAGCCCTGTCATTTCTTTTCAAGTGCTGTAGCTCTCTGGCTGTCTGACATTGGAGAGCTTTTCATTAATTATTGTTGTTGCTGTTTTCCTTTTAAAAAGAGAAATGAAAAGAGGAGTGGGAAACAGTGGGAAAGAGCTGGTGGTGGGGAAGAAGTGCACAGAAGGTTTATGGGATTTTAAGAGCTGCAAACAGAATTCATCTGTTTAACCCCAGGCTAGATAAAATGCAGTCATCTGCACATTGTTTAGAGACGTATTGCTTCTGTTACGGCAAATGGATCAGAAGATGCTTGTTGTCTTTAGCAGGGAGACCAGACAGGGTCTCTTTCTGTTAGTGTTTATTCTTGCCCTGGACCTTTCTGAAGTCTCTCCATTCCAGAGTACAACTTACAGCTGGTTTGGTTTTCCCCACTCAGCTACTGGGCTGGTAGCAATACTTGCCTCTTTTCTTTTTTTACAATGGTAGTATTACCCTCTCAGAGCTTAGGTGAGTAACTACCAGCATTTTGGGCTGGGACTTCTAGGAATTACAGAATGGAGATTGTGTAAGATGCACCAATATCCACAGGAATGTGATAGTAGCCAACCAGAGTTTAACCAAGAGTGTTGTTAGCTGTTATTGAGTTACGGTCAGCCATACCCATACCATACATGAAAACTGGACCACAGGGGTCCATGTGGTTTCCACTGGATGATTTTTTTTGAAGTAAATTCCCAGAACTTCCTCTTCAGTCTATGCTTCTCTGGAATCTCCATTGAAACTTCTGCATCACAGCAGCACACAGGCTCCCACTGACAGATGGGTGGTGGTTATACTTGAGAAGCATTTCCTGGGAGTTGACCACATCTTCCCAGGGAAGACAATGATACCATCACTGACATCTTTCACCAAGACTGGTGAAATGTAAAGAAGACCCCAAAATCTGAAAGAAAATGAAATGCAATCCACGGGAAAGTTGTAACTCCTAATAACCTTTGCCTTTCCATCACCATGTTCAAGACTGACTTCAACAGAGAAGGTTCCAATGACCACAAATACTTGAGAAGGTCAAACTCATTGCTAGTGTGACAAAGCCAACGTCTGAGAGTTATGTAAGCTAGGGTATTTCTCTCTCATGTTCTAATCGGAGCATAAGCAGTCCTGGGCTGACCTGGTGGCTCCCTGATATTCAGGACCCAGGTTCCTGCCACCTTGTAGCTCTGTTTTACTCAGTATGTGACTTTCACCTGTGACTTAAGATGGTCAATAAGGAGAGGAGAAAAAATGATCTCTTTAAAGACACACATTATTTCTTATACTCCTTTGCCCATGTGTAGCCTGTGGGCACACTGAGCAGTGTGGAAGGTGGGCAAGGTGGCCGTTAGCAGGACAATTAGCTTAGGAGCTGCTGACATATGTCTGTTTTCTTTTCCAGGGGCGCACCTGTGGATCCTGCAGATTATCTGACAGGTGGACTTCGAGGGCTCTATAAGGAAAGGGAGCTTCCATATTACCCAGGGGCTCATCCTATGCATCTTCCCAAAGGGGGATATCCCTGTCCCCCAGATATGAGAGTGGCAGACCTCCGGTATCCTCAATACTACCCACCCCCACCAGCTCCCCATCACAAAGGACCCTTCCGACAAGATGTGCCGCCTTCACCTCCTCAGCACCACAGAGCACCAGCCTACCAGGAAATGGGCAGACCAGGGCCCCGTGGGGCCAGCCCAGACCAGTACCCCTACCGGACCCAGGATCCACGCCAGAAGAACCCCATGACTGCAGCCGTATAGTTGAACACCACCCATGTCAGCCCAGAAAGGAAGACATCTGACATGACCTGTGTCTCTCCAGATCTTCTTCTTCCCGTTGAGTGTTCTCTGTGGCGGTCTGGGACACCTTGGGCTTTTCTCACTTGAGGTTCAAACACTTGAATGCTAGTCTGAGGGAAAGGGAAGAAATTGAGATTTTGTTTTTTAGAGAAAAGAAAAATTAGAAGGAAGATGACCGAACTATAAAGTCAGTTTGATGTTTGAAAGGCTTTTACAAGCCATGAAATCCAGTGAGAGTGGCAATTGAACAAACATGTGCATGGTGCCTCCCTGGCTAGAAACCTGTGCTGGTTTGTGTATACACCCCATGATAAACACACACCCCACAGAATTGGCAGCACAGGGCTGTTTCTTCCAGGGATGATTCTTCATTCAGAGGCTCAGCCTCAGCCACGTTGTTAGAGCTGTGAAAACTGAAGAGTGGCAGAAAGACTGGAGATGTGTGGGAGCTTAAGCAAGTGAATTTTTTATTGAGAAAACAAAGTAGCAAACATGACTAGTGATCTTGAAATTCTTATACCCAGAGGAAGACTATATTTCTTTATTAGTAGACTCTCTCAGAATCCTAGATTTCCAATAAACATTTTGCAGTTCCTCACTTTTTATACATGAGGCAATAAAATGTGAATGTACTCGCAGGTCCTGGGAGAAGGAAAAGTACTCTGAGCACCAAGTCACTCAGGTTAAAAGGGCTGAAACTCCCATGATTCTCACTTTCCTTCTTCCCACGAACCAGGCATGAGAGCTTGGAGATGTCTGGTTTCAGAGTCATTGTCAAGCCTCCTGCCTATGATTATTTAAACTGGAGTCTCTAAGACCCCCTTCCCCTTAAGGGCTAATAAGTCCTTGGAGGAAAAGGGCCTCCTTGTTGGGTGGCAGGACCTAACAGCATTGCCCTGGAGATCTCAGTTCCAGAAACCGTGCCAAACCATAGCCATCTGCACTCTGGGACAGGAAGGGGCCAACTGTGGTCTCGGGAAACTAATGGCCAGTAGATAGCAGTAAATAACAGTGAGAGTGTGTGTGTGTGTGTGTGTGTGTGTGTGTGTAAGTAAGAGAGACAGATGTGATTATCGGCGTGGAGAATGGATGATAAAATGCTTTCTGAAAAGTTTTATCAGAAAAAGACTAAGAAAGGAGAGGGGGGAATGAAGAGGAAGAGATAAGAGGCATAAAACAAAAACCAGTCTGTGTCTGCTCCGTTTTCCAAACAAAAGTCAGCACAACACCATGTATCCAATTGAGAAAAGATGGCGCTATGGTGGAAAGCTGAAGCCAAGCCCGGGAAGGTACTTCGGTAGAACACATTCATCCCAATTTAGTTTGAACTTTGCAGCTATTTTTTATTTATTTCCACTGAACACCTGAAACTTCCAAGACCCAAATGAGAACACCAGCAGAGGCTGGCTGAGAAAGAGCCAAACCTGAGCAAGTCACTGGACTTGCTCAATGATCTTGAAATCCTTTAAGCCTCTTCACATTCCTTCTTCATTTGTTCCGAAAGAAAGTAAATAAAGGCTTGGGTTCAATTTAGACTTATTTTGGCTGAGATTAGGATACCTCTGGTTGATAGGATTTAACAAAGTATAGTATTATTGAATACATAGATTATCCACCTAGCCCAGTTTACTCTTATGTTTTTATTATTATTATTTAAAATAGAGTTCTGTTACCAACACTGATACAACTGCTGGTTTTAGGCATAAGTAGTGTTACTTACTGGACTTCAAGAGGTACCATTTTTCTGTACTACAATTTATATATGACCCTCTTGGAAACACTGTCTAGATGCCTTTTTGCCCCTGTCATCTTTTAACTAGGTCCCTCTAGATTGTTTGCATTTTGTGCCAACAGGGTACCAATGGTAGGCCTTGCTCACTTCAAGGTGGACTGCTGGTGTCCTGTAGGCTCTCCTTACCAAGGGACTCAGTCCTACGTCTCCCACAAGCAAAATAAAACTCCAAAGGGGGGGAGGGGGGAATCAAGGGAAATAGAACTTATTTAAAGCAGTAAAAAGAATCTGTTATCTATTATGTTCCAAACTTTTGGTAAATTTCTAGGGAATACTGAATGTCATCCAGCAGAAAGCTCCTTCTGGTTTAAGGTCGAAGTCATGTGAGCGACAGACAGTGGCAGTGGTGCATTGTTCACGTGGCCTTGGAGGGAGAGTGCACTCTTCACCGGCCGTGCCTGATCCCTCCTGCGCGCAGGCGCAGAATAAGCTGCTCTGAAACCAGCTTTCTTTTTTTTTCCCCCAACAATCATTGAAACATTTGCTAATCCTGAGGGTCAGTCAATGATGTGAAGAAAGACACTCTTCAAGTGAACAAAAAATGGATTAAAGAGTTTTCTTTTCTTGCGTTGAGTATTAGCACACACTCCATTTGATCCCAGTGTTGAGATGCTATTGCTATGTTTGTGACAGAGGCTCTGCCAAGCCAAGCAACAATTAAGAATAGCTTGAATATAAGCTTTATAAATGCCTTTATACCAGCCCTCCAGTTCTCACTGCCCCAATGACTGCAGAATCTTTTTTCCAGTATTTGAGAGGATAGCTCGCTTATTTGGTGTATTTAGAAGACCAAGAAATCGGGAGGTGCCCAGTAGCAGGACACAGCTCTCACTTTATCCATGGCTAATGAAAAACTCAATCAGGTATCTCCTTTAGCTCGGAACTCGAGTAACTCCCCTGGAACTGAATGGCATAACAAGGTAAAAACCCATCAACATATGCCTACCTGAATGCTAATGAGACTGCTGGGTCATTTAGGCCTTGAAATGATGCTGTGGCTTCAAGTCACTAGGTATTTTAAGGAGGCTTCATTTTCTCCTTTTTTGCAAGTGTAGAAAGGTGAAAGGGAGCTGACCATTGAAAACTTTTTTTAAAACTTTATTTTATTCATTTTAATAAACATTTACAGAGATTTTGGCTTTCCATTCATTGTTGCATTTTTCTCTCTGCCCACTCCTCCCTCCCCCCACCCCAGTTCGCTCTTCTCTTTGAAAAGTAAAAGAAAAATTCTTTCATTGATATACAATCCCCCTTCACCCCTCCCACCACCCCAAGTACACTCCACCATGCCACCTTCATTCTGGACTCTTGGCATAACCATAATACCCAATCATATATCGCTTTTAAACTGTCCTCTCTCTCATCTGTTTCAATGCAGTATACATAATTTAACCAATCTTTCTCAATCTCACCCTAACCCTGATGTCAGTCCCATTCTACTTTTATGTGCAGGAGAATTCAGTCCTCCAAGGGCCCAGAGAAGCATGTCTTATCAACTCATTGTGCCACTGGGATGCTATTACTATTGGTGTAAATAATATTGTCTCTCCACCATGTCATGTCAGTGGATGAAAGACCAGCTCAAAGACCTATACATTTTCTTAAATCCTAAATTCTGCAGTCACAAAGATGGAAACAATTACCCTGAAGCTTATTGGATTGTTAGGTATAGATGTGGTACCCAAAGGAGAATGTTAAGCAAAGATCTTACAGGTAGGCAAGAGCCTGGTAGATGCTTCCAGATCTCTGAGTAAGCACAAGTGAGCATGTGCTTACCTTGCCTGCCAAATACCCTGACACCGAGAATTGAGAGCTCCTTTTAGCTTTATTTTTATCACCAATGAAATAAAATTATAACCTGGTTGAATTTTAGTGGGGTTGTTTCCTGCTATTAATTCAGTATCATTATGATATAGTTCCTTATTCCTTCCAAAGGGTTGTGGAATTTTTTAAAACTAAACCTCCTTCTGAAAAAATGCCACCCAGCTACTTATGGAGAATGACAGTATTCATTTCTTTTCCTGGGAAGCCCTGAGATCAAGTCTTTTAAAAGTGTTTACTCCGTTGTCTGCAACCACAGAATCCATTTTCTTTGTAGGACCATCTAGGTATTTCAGGGGCTAGAAAGACCTAGAGATTTGGCTCTGGAAAGGTGTCTGTGTCTGTAAAACCCCTCTTGGATTAAACTCTGAAATCAACTATGAGTGGCCTGCAAATTGGTTTATAAATTAGGTAGGCACCCTACTGCTTTCTGAGCCCACAAGGAGCAAAAAAGTCTAGATTGGAGGCAAGTTGTCAGGAAGGAGTTGCTTTCCGAAAGGGCCAACAGTGAGGTCGCCAGCACACCCAGTCCACACCAAACTGGGTAGAAACAGTGCACAGTGAGACCAGGAAAAGGAGCTAAAGGCACCTTCCTGAGAAAAAAAGAGATTAGAAGTTAGGCATTGAAAAGAAGCCTATGGAAAAAAAAAAAGAAAAGAAGCCTATGATCTCCGATGAAGGGTCTTCTAAGTGTATCTCTTTTTACCTTGTGTCCTGATAGAAGCAGAATCACATAAGTCTGGTTTTTAAAAGTGGCCTGGGCTCCTGAACCTGGAGGAGACAGCCAGTCTCGGGCTCTTTGGCCTTTTCTCCTGACCGTAGCCCTTCTGTTCCATCACGCTGCCTGAGGTCGCCTTACTACCAGAAAAGAAAACAAACCTGTTGCTGTCAATGTCACGTTTTCTAGCATTTCTTATGCTTTTATATCAAGTCTGTTCATAAATTCTAAACATAAATTATTTTTTAAATAATATTTTGGCATATGGGGGTGGAGAGTGAATTCTTTACAAACTTTTTTAAGCTGATCCCCTTTGTACCCCAGAAAACATTTTGGATGTTGCTATATATGAGCATATAAATTTTACTTGCTCTATTTTGCATTAAAATAAAGTTTTATTCAGTTAATATAAGGTGTCAGAGTCTCGATTTTTCATCCACCACTCACTTTCTCTAGGATTTCATGAATGAAGAAATTGGTCTTGGGCTGCTTACACTTGAAAGCCAATGTCATAGTGCAGAATCACCAGAAAACTTATTAATTCATTTATATTCTCTCTCTCTCTCTCTCTCTCTCTCTCTCTCACACACACACACACACACACAAACACAGCGAGAGCCCGCAGTAATT